GAAATAGTTGAAATGGTAAATTATATATTATGTGTATATCACCACAATCAAAATTTTTAATGTGAATATACTGATGAATATAGAAACAGGAAACTATATTCCTTCTTTTTAAATTACTGTTTACTTTCAATATTATCTTCTATTGGTTTCAGGTGTACAGCATAGTGGTTAGGCAATCATATACTTTACAAAGTGTTCACCCCAATATTTTCAGTACCCATCTGGCACTATACGTATTGAAGAATTTGACTATATTCCCTGTGTAGTACTTTACATTCTTGTGACTGTTTTGTAACTATTAATATATACTTCTTAATCCCTTTACCTTTTTCCCCCAGTCCCGCAACCCCTCCCTTCTGGCAACCACCAGTCCAGTCTGTGTGCCTGAGTCTGTTTCAACGTCGTTTATTTATGTTGTTCTTTAGATTCCACATATAAGTGAAATTATATGGTATTTGTCTTTCTTCGGCTGACTTTTTTCACTGAACATAATACCCTGTAGGTGTATCCATCAGAAAGAAATTCTGTTTTCTTTAGCTATCAGTCTCTGATCCCAACCTCACTTCCACCATAAGCTCCCAGACAGTGATTTACCTCCTGTCTCTGTAGATTTCCCTATTACAACAGTTCATCTGAATGGAATAATATGTAGTGTTTTTCTGACTGGCTGGTTTTACTCAGTATGTTTTTAAGTTTCATCCATGTTGTAACATAAGTTTCATCAGTTGTTTGTTTCTTTATGTAGTTAAACAGTATTCCATAGTATGGCCATACCACTATTGTGTTTATCCATTTGTCAGTTGATGAACATTTAGGTTGTTTCCACCTCTTAACTCTTATGAATTGTACTACTAGAAACAAGTTTGTAAATTTTTGTGTGGACATATATTTTCATTTCTCTTAGGCATATACCTAGAAACAGAATCTCTGTGTCATATGGTAACTCAATCATTTGAGGAACTGTCTACTGTTTCCAAAGCAGCTATACCATTTTATACTTCCATAAACAATGCATGAGTGATCCAATTTCTCCACATTCTTGCCAACACTTTTTATAGGAATTTCTTAAAATTCCATTCTGGTGGGTGTGTTAGTGTTTGATTTTTATTTCCCTGATGACTAATGATACTTAGTATCTTTTTCTATGCTTATTAGGCATTTGTATATCTTCTTTGGAAAAACTGTTTCAGTATTTTGTGCAAGTTATTCGGTTATATGTCTTTACTATGGAATTGCAGGAGTTCTCCATATATTCAGAAACAAATTCCTTAGCAGATTTATGCATTGAAAATATGTTCTCCCATTTTGTGAGTTGTGTTTTTACTTTCTTGATTCAAGTCTTTTCAAGTGTAAAAGAATTTATCTTTGATGAAGTCCAGTTTACTTACTTATTTTTTGTTGCTTATGCTTTCAACATCAAAGACTTGATTACCAAACCCAAGATTACTAGGATCTTGTAACTTTTTATTTTTTTAATTATATTTCATTGATTATGCTATTACAGTTATCCCAGTTTTTTTCCCCTTTACCTCTTCCATCAAGCCCCACATAACTCCCCCAGGCAGTCCACAAAACACTGTTGATATCCATGGGTCATTTGTGTAAGGTCTTTGGCTACTCCATGTCCTACACTATACTTTACATCCCCTTGGCTATTCTGTAAGTATCTATTTGTACTTCTTAATCCCCTCACCTCTTCACCCACTCCCCTGTCTGATAACCGTGAAAACACTCGCTGTATACATGATTCTGTCTCTGTTCTTTTTGTTTGCTTTATTTTTCAGATTCAGTTTTTAATATGTGTTTATTGCTACTTTGTTGTTCATAGTTTTGATCTTTTCTTAAATAAGTCTCTTTAAAATTGAGTGTAGTAATGGCTTGGTGATAATGAACTCCTTTAGTTTTTTTCTTGACTGGGAAGTTCTTTATTCTAAAGATACTTGATTCTAAATGATATTTCTGCTGGGTAGAGCAGTCTTGGCTATGGGTCTATGTTTTTCATCACTTTTAATATTTCTTGTCAGTCCCTTTTACCCTGCAAAGTTTCTTTTGAGAATATAGCTGACAGTATTATGGGAGCTCCCTATAGATAACTGTTTTTCTCTTACTGCTTTAGAATCCTCTCTTCATCTTTAATCTTTGGTATTTATGGTGTGTCTTGGAGTGGGCCTCTTTGCATCCTTCTTGTTTGGAACTCTCTGTGCTTCCTGGACATGCATGTCTATTTCCTTCACCAAATTGGAGTTTTCTTTCACTATCTTTTCAAATAGATTTCCAATTTCTTCATTTCTCTTCTCCTTCTGGCACCCCTATGATGCGAACGTTAGAACGCTTAAAGTTGGCCCAGAGGCAGCCTACAACATCCTCGTGGGTTTGGTGGGGGTGGGTTTGGGGTTTTTTGTTTTGGGGGTTTTTTTTGGATTCTCTATTCTTCTTCTTGTTCTGATTGCTTATTTTATACTTCCTTAATGTTCCAGATCATTGATTTGATTACTGGCTTCATCTGCTCTACTGTTATTTCCCTCTGAGTTGCTTTTTATTTCAATTAGCATATCCTTCATTTCTGACTGGATCTTTTTTATACTGTTGAGGTCCTACTAAGTTCCCTGAGCATCCTTATAAGCAGTGTTTTGAACTCTGCATTTAGTAGACTGCTTATCTCCAGTTGTTTAGTTCTGTTTCTTTCATTTGGGCCATGTTTGTCTTCTTGTTTTGGTAGCTTCCCTATGTTTTTTTCTGTGTGTTAAGTAGAGCTACTATGACTCCCTGTCTTAGTAGTGTGGTCTAATGTAGTAGGTGTCTTGTACGGTCCTGTGGCACAGCCTCCCCTATCACCTTAGCTGCATATCCAAGTTGTGCCCTCCATGTTGGCTGAGTACACTCTCCTCTTGTAATTGAGCCTTGATTGCTGTCAGTAGGTCCATTGGAGGGATTTACCCAAGCTAGTCAGTCAGCTGCAAGTACTGGCTGTGACATCTGACTACTACCCTCAGCGCTTTGTAGAGGATCAGCTGTGCAAGGACAGGATGGTGGTACTCTGACGTGTTCTGTAGCCGTCCACTGGGTGTGCAGACTCTGGGGTTTCCCTGGTGGTGCAGGCCCAGGTCAGCCCCCACTTGTGTTCTGCTCTGGCCCACCCTGCATGAGCTATAAAGCAATCTGAGATGGCTTTTGCTTGTGCTGGGCTTGAAGGTTCCCAGGCAAAGAGAAATTGTGAATCTTGGCTGGCTGCTGCTAGTGCCAAGCCTGAGTCCACTTAGCAAGAGATCCAGGAGCTGGGGGCTCACTGAGGTGAGGCTGGCTGTTGCTTGTTTGGTAGGATTTAGGAAGTTGTGAAGCATGAGGCAAGACCAGACATTCATATGGAAGGGTCACGGTTAACAGTTTAGGTGGGCCTGTAAGTTGGATGGGATGGAGTCTCAGGAGATCTCCGGGGCAGGTCAAACAGTGTTAGCCAGGTTGCTGGAGTCTCCTACATGGCACCAGTCTGTGGGCTCTGTGGCTCTGTTGTGGGAGGGCTTAGAAAGGGACAATGGCCTCTGCTCACATTTCTGAGAGAAAATTGTGCCCCAGCTCCCACCTTGATGCTAGATACTTCAGTGCCTCCCCGTATGCCACTGGTGCCTTTCAAGCTGTTACCCTGGTGCTGGAGCTCAGATGGAATGAATCTGAGTAAGTCCATGTGTGGGTTCTTTAAGGGAGACTGCTTGAGACTCCAGAAGTATCTTCCCCTGATTCAATCCCTGCTGATTTTTACAGCCAGAAGTTATAGGGACTTATCTTCCTGGCACTGGAACCCATGGGCTATGGTGCCTGGTGTGGGGCTGGGATTCCTCACTCCAGAGTGTCCCTCCCTAATATTTATCCACCACACATGGGTAAAAGACATACCCATTCCCCATCTCCACCCCTCCTAGGTAGATGTGTTCTGTTTAATTCCGTAGTTGGCAGACTTTCATTCAAGTCAGTATCTGACAGTTCTGAATGATGGTTGTTCTGTAGTTTAGTTGTAATTGTAATGTGGTTGTGCAAAGAGGCAATTCATATTTACCTATGCCCCCATCTTGACTGGAAATCCCAAGTATTTCTTATGTTTTTACATATTTGTCCTGTAGAGTGTCCTATAGCGTAGATTTTCCTGATGGTGTCATCATAGTGTTGTTTAGTATGTCTTCCTGTATTCTCTGTAATTCAGTAGTTGGATCTAATGTGGTAATTTTAGTGTAAATACATGGTATATGAGTATAAAAAGTTACTAAAGGTAGATTAAATAATACTATATAAAAATACTTTATTTAGATGATAAAAAGACTGGAAACTAATAAGGTTTTATATATTAATTAAGATTTCTAATTACCTGAGAATTCTCAGAAAGAATTAATAATAGTATGATTAGAAATGATTTTTTCTGAAAAAAATTTCTTAAACAAGAAAACTTTCAAACATTTATTGTAACAAATTGCATATTAGACTCTCAGAGACATACTACAATAACTAAATACAGCAGTGAATTAGGGTTTTTTTGCTGACAGTCTTTTTTGTTTTTGTCAGTATATTAGAATACGTGAGGGTCATGTTCTATTGTTTTCTTTATTCTTAGATAGTACCTTTTAAGCAAAAAAAAAATATATTTTTGAGTATCGTCAAACTGCATTTTCTCTTTTCTAAAATAAAGCATAATGAGACCAAATAAGTTACCTTTCTATTGTGTAAAATTAGTGTTATTTATCTTTTTTTACAGTAATTATTTGAACAGCACAAAAGACATTTTAAAATAAGTTATACATGAGTAAGAGCAATCTAATTGGTTTTTTCCCTGGTTTTAAAAGATTGTTATTATTGCCATAAACATAAAGTAATTATCTAAAAGATAATGTATTTTTAACTCAGAGAAAAGAGTTAGATTTGATTTAATTTGTAGAACCGTTTGTTCAAGGTATCTTTACAGTCATCTCCATCTCAATGTGCAGTGTTTTTATGTGTGTTTATTTTCCCTGTAGTTCCTCAGTAGGTTACTTACAACATACAGGATCAGAACAAGTACAGTTTCCTCGAACTACTTCACCGTGCAATTCCCAGCAGCTTCAAAGCCACCAGTGTTCAGGTATGAACGATAACTAAACAAAAGCATAATGATATTTTCATTTAAGAAATAATTAAGTTCCTTAGGCACTTCTAGAAAAAGGTTTTCAACTTTTTCTGTGCTGAGATGTACCCAGGATATTTTGGGTACCATGCAGAATCAGAGTTGACGTTCTCTAGGATCCTTTCCTAGGTACTCGCTCATTACTCTTCAAGGTCTTCCTAAGTAATCCAACCACCTCCTAGGCTTCAACTACCACTCTTAGCCAACACCTTCTAAATCTTATTTCTGCTGAGACAAGACCATATAGCCAACTATCTACTGAATGAGTCCAAAGAACTTCGTGTTTCCAGCATTCCTTACCTCACCTACCTGGGAATTAAAGTTCAAAGTCATAATTAACTCTCTTTGTTCTTTCCTTTAGCATTCATGCTGTCACCATTTTCTCAAATGTGCCACATTCTTTCCTTTCCCACTGCTGCTACTTTTGATCAAATCTTTTCATATCTTATTTGCCATAATATCAAGTGGTTTTGCTTATTTTTTGTTTCCCCTACACCCAGCTTTTCTTCTCCCCAAAACACAAGCACATGTACAGACAGTTCAAAACTTATTGTCCTGAAACAGGAGTCTCTTCACGTCATGCCTTTGAATAAAAATATTTGTACAGATTCTCTATCTATATTCGAACAAGTATGCCTCCTGAGTATACTTACTTGCTCAATTCATATGCTTAGTTCACACAGAACTTTGTTTCCAGAATATATTACGCTTTTTTATGGCAAAAATACTTTCATACCTATTCTTCTCTCTGCCTGGAATGCCTGTCCACCACCCTCTGGTTGCCAAAATCCTGCTCATCCTTAAATTTTGACTTAAAAATTATGTCTTCTACAAAGGCTTCCCCAGTCCTTAAAATGCAGTTTGTTGCATCTTTTTCTCTGCCTCCCCAGTGTCTGAAACAATCCTTTATCATAATACCATATTTTATTGTAATGGTTTATTGACATTTTGTCTATGAGAAACAATAAATAAATATTAAGTAAATGACTAATAGTGGCTGCATCCTGCATGGATGGGGTGCTGTGGCTTACAAGGACTTTGAGATGTCCCTAAGCAGTAGGTCCTTTTATGGTTGTCTAGCCAGATCAGGTTGGTTCAGTTTCTGGAGAACTAGAAACTACCATGGTTACTGCAGTGCAGACTGTGGCCCTGTCAGCAGAGCACAGCATTCTGCCTTACCTGACACTGAAATGGTGAGTGGCAGGCAAAGTATATGCTTAATACTAGCGGTGTGGGTACACAAAAGAAATAATTCAGATAAGGAGATAGACATAAGTCTACTCATCTCTACTGTACAATTAGCAAAGTGTTTTGACATACATGTAATATCACAGCTCTTTAAAGTTGGTCAAGGAAGTCTTCCTGGCCTCCTTTTCCAAATGAGAAAACACAATCAAAGAGCTTACTTTCTCAGTCATAGGACATTTCAGGGTACTAAAATTGTGCTGTGCAAATTCCATTCCCATGTTCCAAACTTTTTCACTGCATGAAATTGATTTACTAGAAGATAACTTTTTTACTCTATGTCAAAGTTTCTGTAGGATAATTTTCCCAATTTTTCTTTGTATTTAGAAAGAAATGCCTGTTTTAAAATTAATTCACTTTAAAACTTCAGCACTTTTATAGATCATATCTTAATTGTGCTGCTCTCTACTAGTTTCTGCAATAGATAAGTGGACTATTCTAAGTAACTATAAACCTATTATTTTGAGGAGTGAGATATTTAGGTCTACAGAGTTTATCTTAATGCCTTTTCAAACACACAGTGCTTTAAGCAAGAAACAATAGGGTCTAAATCTGCCTTACATACAGAATAGTAAAATTTTGTTAAATATAAAATTATTGTCATTTGTTGTGGTGTATAAAGATACCAGCTGTTTGCTGAAGTATACTGATTGTGGTATCCTAATTCTGATTTTCAGCTGTGCCACCCCCACCACCTGGCGGAGGTATGGTGATGATGCAGCTTAACATACCAAACAATCCACAGTCTCGTGCCCACTCACCCCCACAGTGGAAACCAAACAAATATTACTGTGATCACCCGAGAGGACAGAAGTGTGTGGAATTTAGCAATGTAGAGAATATAGTTCAGGTAAGATGCTTAATTTTAAAACTTTAAGTATTTTAACCACAGAAAATTGACTTAAAAGGATTGACACTGAATTGAAAATTCAAACAGATTAGCAAAAAAGTTTGAATATTTTTTATATCCAGGCAATTTCTTTCAATATTTAAATATTGCTCTCACAGGTGTGGCTTAGTTGGGTATCATTCCACAAACCTAAAGGTCACAGGTTGAATTCCCAGTTGGGCACATTTGAGCAGCAGCCAGTTGATGTTTCTCTCTCACATCGATGTTGCCTTCCATCTCTTTCTCCCTTTCTTCCCCTCTCTCTAAAAATGAATAAAAGCCCTGGCTGGCGTAGCTCAGTGGATTGAGCGCGGGCCTGTGAACCAGAGTATCGCGGTTCGATTCCCAGTCAGGGCACATGCCTGGGTTGCAGGCCAGTTCCCAGCAGGGCACTCAAGAGAGCAACCACACATTGATGTTTCTCTCCCACTCTTTCTCCTTCCCTTCCCCTCTCTCTAAAAATAAGTAAATAAAATATTTTAAAAAAATAAAAATGAATAAAAATCTTTTTAAAAAGACTTAAATATTATTTCCCTTTTTATATTCAAGGTTTTTTTAATCGGAAGGTAAATTAGATCTCAAATTTGATAAAGAAAAAGAATTAAGCAATTATCTTACATTTGTTATATAAAACATTTTGTTGTAACCAGAAAGTTGATGAGGGAATGCTGTTTATCATAGAAGAAATTAATAGATGTAAAAGCAGTGGTAGAATTTAAAATCACCATTTTGGAATCCTATTAAAATAATGGACCCAGGAAAAATCAACAGCAAATGTCAGAAACATTAGGAAAAGGTTTTAGGGAGGGCTTTAAAATGGATAGATGAGACAGACACCACTTGAAGCAGCTAATCAATAGAAGCATCACTAGAAGTGGGTCAATCAAACATTATTTGTCTCCTGCTGCGTAGAGGAAATGCACAGTATCATATGATGTACTCTTGTCAAAAAAAAAATTAAAAACTAAACTTGAGTCTAATGGAGCCTCTAAGTCTACCTAGTAATTTACAGAAAATCCAGGAAGAAAAAATAACAACTTATATGGTATTATGTCCTTATTTTACCAGACAAATTGGCCCTGTTTCTTTAACAGATAAATGTCATTTTGAAGTGAAGACTGAGACTGTTATAGATTAAAAGAGACTCAAGATAATAAATGCAACATGTTGAACTTCCTTTCATACTGACCACTCAAAAGATGTTTTAGGACAAAAGGGGTTATTTAAATATGTTCATTTTTAGTGTGATAATGGTATTATTTTTTAATAGTTTTTATCTTTTAAAAATATTTATATACTCAAATATTTCTAAGTCAAATTCTGTGATATCTGAGACTTTAAATAATTCAGGGAGGAAAAAGCAGGAGAAATCACAATTGAAGTTGGATGATGGGTGGGTGGAAGTTTGTTATACTCATCTATCTACACCTTTATACACGTGAAAGTTAACAGAATTAAAAGGTTTTTGAAATATTTCTTAAAAGATAAACTGCACAAAAGTATTTACAATGCACATGACAAATCATGGCTTAATAAAAAGATCAAAGATCATTTATATTCTAGCTCATAAACTACATATAGCCAGTGGCCATTAAGCAAATCAAAATGTAAAAATATTTATCTATATAATTGGGAAAATTTAGGAAGACTACTAATTGTCAGTATGAAGAGATATGAGAATTGTCAGTATGTCAGAGATATGAAGTTGCACAGTATATTCTTGGTGTACTGTAAATTACTACGCAACTCTTTTTTGGGGTGCAGTTTAGTGACTTTTTATTTAAATGTGAAAGGTACATAGCTTTTGATCCACAAATTCACTTGTATGATTTTTTTTGTCCAGTAAATATTGCGGAACAAGTGTACAAAAATATATGTACAAGGATATTTCTTTCTCCCCTGTTACAACATTGAAAAACTGAGAATAGTCTTGATATTTAGCACAAGCTCCAGTAAAGCCCTGTGAGAAGACCTTAAAGTTAGGTCTTAGTCTGATCCTTGACACAGAGACAGCCTGCAGCAATCTATAGAGAAAAACAATAACAAAAACATCCCAGCAAATCCTGAGAAAGTAGAAGAATCTGATTTCCACTCTTACTACATTATCAGACTGTAATATCCAGTTTTAAACAAAGCACAAGGAATACAAAGAAAATGGGAAATTATGATGGCCTGTTCAAAGGGGAAAAAAATCAACAGAAATTGTTCCTGAAAAAGACCTAATGGCAGATCTCTTAGACAAAGACTTTAAAACAACTGTCTGAAAGATGCTCAAAGAAGTAAAGGACGGTATGGAGAAAGAAAATAACGTATGAACAAAATAAAAATATCAGTAAGGAGGTAGTAGAACATCTAAAAAGAAACCAAAAATACTCATAAATTCTGGAGTAGAAAATGCCATAATTAAAATGAAAAATTAATCACTAGAGAAACTTACTGGCAGATCTGAGCAAGCAAAAGAAGAATCAAAGTACTTAAAAATAGGACAATGGAAAGTATTAAGTCAGAGGAACAGACAGAAAAAAAGGGATAAAGAAAAGTAAACAAAGCCTAAGGGACCTCTGTGGACCAACATTCATACTGTGGGCTTCCTACAAGGAAAAGAGAATATATGTAATAATAATGGCTTAAAACTTCCCAAGTTTGATAAAAAGACATGAATATAAATGTCAAGCAGCTCCACAGACTCTTAAGATGAACTCAGAGACCTACACTGAGACACATTATAATCAGTCTTTCAAAAGACAATATTAAAAACAGCAAGATAGAAGTGACTCATCATATACATAGATCCTCAGAAAGATTATCAGCAGATTTCTCATTAGAATTTTGGGGGGCTTGAGGCAGCAGGTCCATATATTCAAAGTGCTAAAAGAAGAAAAACTGTTATCCAAGATCCTTGATCTGGCAAAACTGTCTGTCCTTCAGAAGTAAGGAGAAATTATGAATTCCCAGGTAAATGGAAGCTGTGCCCTGCCCTTTAAAAAATTCTCAAAAGGGTTCTGCAGAGTGAAGTGAAAGGACTTTAGAGAGTAACACAAAGCCATAAGAAGAAATAAAGCTCTCAGTTAAGTTAAATACATGGACAATTATAAAAGCTAATAGTTTTACACCAATGGTTTTGTAACTCTACTTTTTGCTTTTGTACATAATTTAAGAGATTCATATTTTTAATTACCTAAAAGGCAGTGTTTTTGTAACTTTGATTTGTAACTCCACATTTTGTTTTCTATGTAATTTAACAGATGAATGCATTTACTAGAATTACTAGTTTGTTTTAGGTCACATAGTGTATAAAGATGTAGTTTTATGATACCAGCAACCAAAAGGAGTGATGACAACTGTAAAGGACAGATTTTTGTATGTTAGTGAAGTTAAACAGTTGTAAATTAGAGTATTACAACTTCAGGATGTTGTGTGTAATCCCCAGGCTAACCACAAAGAAAAAAAATCTATGGACTATTTACAAAAGGAAATGAGAAAGGAATTTAAACATTTTACTACAAAAAAAATCAAGTAAACACACAAGACAGTAATGCAGGAAATGAGAATCAAAAAGCCATCAGGCATTTAGAAAAATAATGCCCAAATAAAAGTAAGTCCCTCTATCAGTAATTATCTTAAATGTAAATGGATTAAACTCCAATCAAAAGACAAAGATAAACTTTAGATCAAAGCAGTTTGCAAGATACAAAGGACATTGTATACTAGTAAAAGTTTCAATACATCAACAAGATATAGCAAATATAAAAATGCACCTACTAATAGACTATCAAAATACATGAACCAAAAACTTACACAATTGAAGGGAGAAATAACCAGTTCTAAACTAATATTTGGACATTTGAAAACTCTACTCTCAAAAATGGATAGAACAACCAAACAGAAGATAAGTTAGGAAATAAAGAGCATAGTAAACCAATTAGATCTAACAAACATACAGAGCACTCTACTGGACAACAACAGCATACACATTTTTCTCAGGTGCACATGGGACATTTTCTAGGATAGACTACATGTTAAGCCACATAGTAAATCTCAATAGATTTTAAAAGGTAGATATCATACAAAGTATCTTCTCCCAGTCAGCATCATACTGTCAGTCCTACCCAGAGGAGTTAGGAAAAAGAAATAGAAAACATCCAAATTGGAAAGAGGGAAGTAAAATAATCTCTGTTTAGAAAGATGATTTCCCCACAAGATACAAGTATAACTAGAAAGGAAAAAATAGTAACTTGACAGTGGGGAAACCAAGAACACAGCACCTTAACCCAGCCATTGAAGTAAAGATCACCAACACTGTGATGACAAGTGGGCAGCATGTTCCCTCGCATAAAATGGACTGAGGACACAGCATCCCTTCTTTGCTATTCCTTCACCAAATGTATATCATGAACATATTGATTAGAAAACAGAAACCCAAAAATGAGGAGCACTTCACAGAATAACTGATCTTTAAAATGACTTTCAGAAACGTCAGTCATGAAAGGGAAGACTGAGGCTCTGTTCCAGATTAAAAATCAGAGACATGACAACTAAACGCAACATTTCATTCTAGATTGGATTCTGAACTAGTTGGGTTTTTCTTTTTTCTTTCTTTTTTTTTTTTTTTTTTTTTGGTTATAAAGTACATTTGTGGAATAATTGGTAAAATTTTAATAAACTTGCATATTATATAATACTACTGTGTTTTTGATTGCCTGATTTTGACAATTATACTGTAGTTATTTATATAAGAAAATTTTTTTGTTTTAGCAAATAGACAAATGATTTCAGGATAGAGTGGTATTATGTGCAACTCGTTCTCTAATAGTTCAGAAAATAATAAGAGATAAATCCAGTATAATAAAATATTAACATTTGAGAAATCTGTGAATTCTTTGTACTGTTTTTGCAACTGTTCTTCATGGATGAATTGTTTAAGAATGAAATGTTAAACAGTTAATGTAAACAAAGAATGAGATTGATGTAAATATTCTCTCATTGAAAGGTACCTACAATATTCTAGGTACAAAAGCAAGAGTCAAAAGTTGGATGTGCAATGTTTCCATTTTGTAAAACATGGATGCATATGCATAGAAATAATCTGTTATTAGTGTTTATCATTAGGAGTGGGAAATTATAAATTTATATAATATTTTAATTTTTATAACAAGTATACATTGCAGTAATAAAACAAGTACATATTTATAATAAAAAATAATAAAAATTTTTCTCCAAAGGAAATTTGAAAAAGCCTGACTAAATCCTGACCTATTTTCTTGATAAAATTACAGCACAGCCCTCAACTCGGTAGTCCCATTATTTCACCAGCTCAGTCGCCAGCACCAGCTCAGCTATCCACCCTGAAAACGGTTCGTCCGTGTGGACCACCACTTTCCATCATACCCCAGTTTTCTAGACCTTTTATCCCTGGGCAAGGTAAGTGTGCATGAAACTCTTCACAGCCTCAGAGAATTTTAAGACATCACTGTCAATAACTTTGTGATTTACCTTGCTACTGCCACCTTTTAGTTTCCCACAGGACTACATTTTCACCTCTATCTAGGCCTATGTGTTTATTACCATAAACTCTCCTGACCTTAATGTTTCATCACTAATTAATATTTATGAATTACTTACATTTAGTAGTTACTTATAGGACAAAATTAAATGGTTTTAACTTAATTACTCTCTGACTCCATCTCTTCATATAATAAGAATTTCTATATTTGTTTTATATTTCTAATTTCTATATTAGAGTAATATATCAAGTTTATTCAAAAAAAATGTACACAACAAACATTTATTGAGGACTTAATATGTCCCTAATGTACAAGAATCAATAAGATGATGTCTTTTTTAAAACATGTTTTTTACACCCTGGCTGATATAGCTCAGTGGGTATAGTTCAGTGGATTGAGCACAGACTGCAAACCAAAGGGTGGCTGGTTCGTTGCCCAGGCAGGGCACATACCTGGGTTGCTTGCCAGGTCCCCTGTAAAGGGCGGGTGAGAGGCAACCTATTTATTTTTTAGAAAGACAAGAAGGGCCCTGGCTGGTGTAGCTCAGTGGATTGAGCACAGGTCTGCGAACCAGAGGATCACGGTTCAATTCCCAGTCGGGGCACATGCCTGGGTTGCAAGCCAGTTCCCAGCAGGGGACGCACTAGAGGCAACCATACATTGATGTTTCTCTCCCTCTCTCCTTCCCCTCTAAAGATAAATAAATAAATAAATGTTTTTTTTAAAAAAGAGAAAGACAGGAAGGGAGGGAGAAATAGAGGGAGACAACCATCAGTTGGTTACCTCTCTTACACCCTCAGCTGTGGACCTGGCCCACAACCCAGGCATGTGCCCTGACTCAGAATCGAACTGGCAACCTTTTGGTTTGCAGTCCAGCATTCAATCTGCTGAGCCACACCAGCCAGAGCTGAGATGAAGTCTTTATCCTCATCAACCCTCAGTCTAGTTGGAGGAACAGACACACAAGCAATTATTATAAAATAATATGGAAACTGCCCTGGCTGCTGTGGCTCAATGGATTGAGCAACTGACCTGTGAACCTAGAGGTCACCGGTTTGATTTCCAGTCAGGCCACACACCTCTGTTGCTGTCCAGGTCCTCAATTTTGGGTGAGCAGAAGATGGCCAATCCATGTATGTCTCACACATTAATGTTTCTCTCCCTCCCCCTCTCTCTAAAAGTAAATAAATAAAATCTTTTAAATAATATGGAAATCATTAATTTTATTTCCTGGAATTTATTGTAAGGATAAATGTTACACAATCAATGCAAAAACCAATTTATTCAAAGAAGTTTTGTGGTGGTGAATTTATCTTTTTAATTTTATTTTTTATTATATTTTATTGTTTATACTATTACAGTTGTCCCCACTTTTTTCCTCTTTGCCTACCTCTACCTTACCACTGCCCCCCCTATCTCAGACAGTCCCCACACCATTGTTTGTGTCCATGGGTCATGCATATATGTTCTTTGACTAATCCCTTCCCTTCTTTCATTCAGTCTCCCCCATTCCCCAATAACTGTCTGTCTGTTCCATGTGTCCGTGCCTCTGTTTCTATTTTTTCATTAGTTTATTTTGTTCATTAGATTCCACATATAAGTGAGATAATATGGTATTTGTCTTTCAATGACTGGCTTATTTCACTCAGCATAAGAGTCTCCGGGCCCATCAGTACCGGTTAATTAGATTATATCCATATAAACTGTCCCAAAAAGGAAAATGTCAAAACAACTTAAATGTCCATCAGTAAGGATTAATTAGATTATAGTATATCCATAGAAGGAATACTATACAGTTACCTAAAAATCATGTTTTACATGTTTAGAGTATTGTGAATTTTTTAAAAAAATAAGTTACATGGACATTTCAAAAAAGAAAACATCCAATAAGCTTTTGAAAAGATGTTCAACATCATTATTCATGGGGGAAAGCAGTATTAAAATCTGAATGAAATATCACTTGGCCCCTACCAGAATGGCTATAATCAAAAAGACAAACAACACTGAATATTGGTGAAGATACAGAGCAACTGAAATTCTCACACATTGGTGTAGGAGTATAAAATGATCAAAACCACTTTGAGAAAAGATTTGACAGTTTCTTACAATGTAGCTATTGCACTCCTAGGTATTTACCCAAGAGAAGTGAAAACGTGTCTATGTAGACTTGTACAAGAACATTTATAGCTATCTGTAATAGCCCAAACTGGACAGACCCAGATGTCCACCAGCGGAGACTAGATGAACAGATTGTAGTGTATCTTTACAGTGGGGTACTGCTCAACAATGACAGTGAGCAAAGCGAATTACTCACGTGCAACAACATGGAAGAAGCTCAGTTATATTAAGCAAAAAAGCTAACCAGACACACAAAAAAGACATACTATATGATTGTAATTATATGAGATCCAACTACAGGCAAACTAAACTATGATGTTAGAAATCAAATAATGATATGGGTGGGATATGGAGTTCACTGGAAATGAGCTTGAGAGAACTTTTCAGGAAATGGAACTGTTTTTGTTTTTTCTTTTTTTAGGTCATGATTACATGGACTTTTACTAAAGATGTATGTTCTCAATTTTTTAAAAAGTTATAAAATACATATACATGTGTGAGTCCACATGTACAACAAAGACTGAAAAGAAACACACCAAAATGTTAAAAATGATTGAATTACTAAGGTGGTTTTTATTTTCTTTTTTATAATACTCTATTTCCAGATTTTCTACAAAACCAATTACTTTAATCTAGAAAAATAAAGCATGTTATAAGAATTAAATTGAAACAACTTGTGGGTGGAAACTATGTGACAATATGGTAATATCAAGATGTCCGGTCTACCATGAATGCCCCAAGAAGAGCACATAGCATGGCCTGTAAGGAGGGGTCTTCGGTTACAGCTGGCTACAGTTTCATCTCCATATTTGAAAAGAATACTGCTCTGTTGGCCTGAACTTAACTCTGACTTCATTGCAGCTGTTTCTTATACATCTTCACAATTCACATGTGCATGTCTGATCTCAGTGCTAAGCCTCTGTCATATCTGCCCTTCAAGTAGTGCTTGGGAAGAAGCAAGTATGTCATGGGTGTGTTCTGCCAGGGAGCGCACCTTCACAGTGATCATTAGCACAGAGCACCATAGAGTGGTAGAAGTGCACACCGTGCTTCTCTCTATTATGGAGGTCTCAGGAGAAAGGGGATGTATCACTTCCTGAAGATGCTTTCTAGCACCTACCTATAACCCTCTTTCAAACACAGAATGTGCTAAATTTAGGGACTTGTGGTTGAAATAAAATGAAAATATAACAAATGAAAGCATTCTTCTCCAGGACAAGTTTTTTGCAGTCAGCATTTATTAAGCCCCTTTCATGTGATGACTTTAGGAATTCGCGAGTAAAAGAAAATAATTGGAGGATCTTCATCCTGATTACCCCATACTTGTTGATTTCTAAAGAGGATACTTGCTCATGAATAACACGGGAACTGTGTCACTCTGGCCCTGGCTGCATGGCTCAGTTGGTTAGAGTCCCTCCCATACACCAAAATGTTGTGGGTTCAATTTCCAGTCAGGGCACATATCTAGGTTGCGGGTTCAGTATTCATTCAGGGGGTGTACGGGAAGCACCCAATCAGTGTTTCTCACATCACTGTTTTCTCTCTTTCTCCCCCGCCCCACCTCTCCCTCCCCCTCCTCTCTTCAAAATCAATAAACATCCTCAGGTGAGGATTAAAACAATAAAATGATTTTTTTAAAGAACTGTGCCACTCTTTATAAGCTAGTCAAAATTACAAACTTTTATTTAAAGAGAGCTTACAATGTAAATTTATACCTATTGATTAAGACTAAAAATGTATGTGTATATGTAAATATATACATGCTTATGTTTATAGTAGTTAATAGTGAATTCGGGGAGCTAGGAATCTTAATGTTTTTTCAGGGTCTTTTTTTTCCCCTGAAATGTAAGTTACGTTAATTTTTAATCCTCAGAGAAAATGTGGATTTTAGTATCTCGAGTGGTTAGAGAGGGTATTATAGTTATTTTGGTGGCTTTCGTATGAATGTTAAGGTATATAGAGAAGTTTCTCTTCACCTTATCCCCTGTCAACCCAGGTCCCACCACATACCTGCCTTCATAACCACTGTTACTAGTCCTTAGTCTTTTAAGAAGTTTACCCCAGCTCTTTAAGGGATATTTGAAACTTTTAATTATTTTAAAAAATATGTCAATACCTACTCAACAGAGTCAATGTAGTAAACTCTAGGAAGAACTTATAACTTAGTAGAGAAAAATGTAAAATTGTTTCTGTTGACTTTTAGGAGATGCTAGATATCCATTACTTGGCCAACCACTGCAGTACAATCCTCCTGCTGTTCTGCACGGACACATTCCAGCCCAACAGGTGAGGAGGCCAGCCGCCTGACCAGCTAGACTGTGCTGGCAGAACATCACACTTCTGTTGCTGTGGGTGGGCTGCTCTGGGCCCTCCTGTTGGCGCTGCTCCGGGAGACCTCTGTGCCTCACCAGTCAATTTCTCACTGTTGTCACTGACCCCACCAAGAGCGGAGCAAGGGAGAAGGTGGAGACTGCTTGGCTGAGCAAGGAAGTCTCAGTTGTGCTCTCCAAAAATAGGTGGTGGCTGGGCGTTAGGGTACCCTTGCTTATGAAAGACCAGCAAGTGACTGGTCATAATATGGGATAGGAGTGCCATTGCTGCAGAGGCAGAATTCAAAAGGCCTGGGATTGACGTTTTTCTGCTGAAACACAAAACCCAGACTGAGTATGGTTAGGTGTTAAGTGTTTCAATATTTCAAGCACGTTTTTCAGAATTATTAACCCTGTTTCTCATCTGACTGGGTTTTCAGGGTCAGTCTGGCAACAGGCATGGAAACCGAGGAAGGAAACAAGCTAAAAAAGCTGCGTCCACTGACTTTGGTGCAGGAGAAGCAGGTGTGTCCCAGAGCGGCAACTCGACAGGGTTCTACCAACTGTTGACCAGTTCATCAGTCTTTAAATCTATACCATGGCACAGAAGTGCGTTTTCCTTCTAGAGTCCTGCAAAAAGTCGTAGAAAATTATGCCATCTATAATGTAGGGTGCTTGGATATGTTCTTGTAACGCTATTTCATTTCAGGTTTGAGCGCATAGTAAGATACAGGTTGGGTTTAGGAGGGCTGAAGGCACCAAAGGGAAAAGATACAGGAATAGGTAGATTGAAATTCTGTGCCCCTATTCTTTAAGAAAGGAAGTAGTCCTTACACCCGTACAGAGGTGGTCTGAATGAAGAAATATACCACCTTTCTGTGGCAAAGTGCTTTCAAGTATTTACTTGAACTTTCTACTCACCTCCTTGGGGTGGTTATACAGTGGGAACATGAACTTTAGGAAACTCCCCCAAATCACTTGCCTTACCTTGGCCAGTGCAGCTCAGTTGGTTGGAGCATTATCCCATAACCAAAAGGTTGAGGGTTCAATCCCCAGTCAGGGAACATACAGGAGGGCAACCAATTGACATTTCTTACATCAGTGTTCCTCTCTGTCCCTTTTTGTCTCCCTAAAAGCAAAGAAAAAATGTCCTCAGGTGAGGATTAAAAAAAATTAAATTAAAAAAATTTTTAAATCACACGCTTTATTTAGAGAAGCTGCTGTATGATGCTGTCTTTTGAATGTGTACCTGTCAGGCAAGGCTGAAATAGACAGTTTATTACCATTGGCTCTACACCCCTTGCTAGGGGATAAGAATGATTTAAAAGATGGCCATAACAATTATAATTTTGTGGATTTGAATGGTTTTAGAAAATTTTGTTCATTTTCTACATCATAGTTGGTTCTACAGTACTTTTTGGTCCCTCTTCAGTAACAGGGAATATTAATTCTACACCTTTTCATTCTAGTTATTGGGAAAGTCTTGGAAATTACTGAACTACCCGATGGAATAACTCGCATGGAAGCTGAGAAGCTTTTTGGGGAACTCTTTAAAATTGGCGCCAAGATACGGTGGCTGCGGGACCCCCAGTCCCAGCCACGTCGTCACCCCCTCTGCTGTGGCAGCGGGGACAACACTGTCAATTCTGAACACTCTAAACCCAGTGACTTGGCCTCCACATACACTGTCTTAGCCACATTCCCTTCCATTTCAGCTGCGCAGAATGCATTGAAGAAACAAATTAACTCAGTTAACAAATTTAAACTGAGAACAAGCAAGAAGCACTATGACTTTCATGTTTTGGAAAGGGCAAGTTCTCAGTAACAGAGCCACCTTGGACCCTTGGCCTTTATGATTCCCCTGTCTTCTCTCATCTTTAATTGGCTTGGTACTTGGAGCTTCTGTTAATATGATAGAGATTCCTAGGATATGTGGTCATGGCGTAACAGCTTTTAAAGACAGGCCAATGTTCCAGCAAAGGGGGGAGTATACACACTCACCCCAAATGACTGTAGGAATCCACATCAGAATGATACAGAGTTAGCAGCTTTCTCTGAGGAAATGCTGTTTAAATGCCTCCTAACTTTTATAGTTATTTTGTTTTATATTTCTGAATTCTTGTATCAGATCCAAAGCTCTATTGTACAGCAAATTCTTCTTCAAAATTATTACAATCAGTTGCAACCTGTATTTCATTTTTTGCAGCCAGCACAGTGTGATCCAACATAAAATTTGGGGGGAAAAGAATACAGGAGTAGAATAACCAAGTCAGAACCATGTGCTGTCCTTTCAAGGGGCTGAAGGGTGACCAAGGAGAGCCCACAAATAGATTACTCTTCCCCTGTGTCTCTGAACACAGAAAATTTCCAAAAAATACAGAATTCCTTCATTGGGTCCTTTCCTCATTTGTTTAGGCAGTATGACCATTTAGTGTAAATTAAATTATGTTATCTTTAAGGCCTCTTAATCAAACCACTTAGACTCAAAGGGGAATAGGAATCATTCTAGGCAGGAAAATACTTCCACATTTTTTTAATGTCCTTCTGATAACTAAATGCCACTGTTTGCATTTCCCTCCTTGTGGCTGTTTGGTCACCTAAGTACATGCATTTGATGAGTGCTGGAAACTTAGGCAGTTTAAAATTTGTTATTGTTTGCAGCAGATCACTGGACATCAAAGATTCATTGCGCTTATGAACAAGGAACCTTTTTTTCAATTTCTGTGTAATTTGAAAGGCTGTACAATGTGTGCTGATACAAGCCTTTTTCAGTTCAAGAGAATAAATGTTTACAAATATATATCCACTTTGTCTTTTGTAAATTAAAATCACTTTTTTTAATGACTGTCAGTATTAAGGACTTAACCTGCCCTATAGATTTCAGTTTTAAACTTAAGATGAAGACAGTAAACCCTTCATCTGGTTTTTTTCTTTCTTTCTTTCTATATTTATTTATATATTTATTTGTTTTTAATTCAATTTATTGGGGTGACATTGGTTAATAAAATTATATAGGTTTCAGGGGTACAATTCAATAATACCTCATCTGTATATTGTATTGTGTAGTAAACCCCTCATCTTACAAATGTTTTGCAAAGCATCACTTTCTCTGTGGTAGTGATTCCCATGGGTATGATTCATGTCATTTTGTTCTCATAAAGTTAATACCAATTAACTGTAGACAGTTTTGGGTATGAACATACTTACATAACTAAAAACAGAACATTGTTTGCTTAGATAAAGAATTTGTGTTTTTAGCCAATATATTGATCACCTTATTAATTGTCCAGTTTAGCTCAAATGGTATATAGGAACTTCCCCCATTTGTTAGCCAAGCAAGGTGCTGGGAACCTCAAAAGATGGAAGGGTCTGCCATATGTAACTTGCCTAAAGGTTGGCTGGCTTCTCGCTCAGAGTAGGAGCAACTCAGGAGCCGCAGGTACTAGCATGCCCGTGCAGATGTTCACTCCCTGCAGAGCATTTGCAAAGTCACACTTGGTCCCTGGGAATCCCAGGCCTCCCCACAAGCTTGTGCATCCCGATTATGAATGTTGTACCCTCCAGGGGCATAGTTGGCGCTGCCTTTGAACTATGTCAGATTAAGAAGCCATACACAGAAGAATAAGTAAGCACTATAAAAATAATTCTCAAGGCCTATTGAATTTTTATTATTTTTGACTGTAGAGAGTCAAAGATCTAGAGAATACATAATTGGGGCCAGCACTGCTACAAGAATTAATCATACATGGAGGTAAGAGACAAAAAATATAACTGGTTTATTTCAGTTCCCTGAATATTTTCTTTAACTCCTACAGCAGGAATTCTAGTGAACCTAAGTGGAGGTTTTGTTGTTTTTTTTTAAGTTGAGGAATAATCGACATAGCATTGTGTTTGTTTCAGTTGCACAACATAATGATTTGATTGGATATTTGTATATATTGTAAAATGAATACCACAATAAGTCTAGTTAATATCCATCACCTCACATAGTTAATGAAGTTTCTTTTCTTGTGCTGAGAACTTCTAAGATCTACTTAGCAACTTTCAAATATACAATATTAACTGTAGTCATCATGCTGTACATTAAAACCTAAATTTTTGCTTTAGATCCTTGGTTTACCCTGTAAGAGTTGAAGACTGCTCAGAAGAAGATAAATCGGTGCTACCAAGTCAGCGTTCAGCCACCACTGTACCCCACATTCCCTGATAATCACATGGGAATACTTACGAAATTGCCAAGACATCCTGCATACACAAATTACAAAAACAATTCACCCATTGCCTAGACTATTTCACTCTGGTCTCATTAAAGAATCCGACTTTACCTATAGAAACAATGGTGGAGGGAGAAAGCATTTAAGATGTAATTTGACCTAGACTTTAAATCTTCCCTAGAATAGCTTCCAATGTCCCAGAGCCCTGACTGGTTTTTCCCAAAGCACTGATCATAATTAGGGACAGACAGTCCTTATACAAGTGGGCTGTTCTCACCTGTGCCCATACCGGGTGGGGCAAACAGGTTTACAGTTTTGAGTACAAGAAAGTTTGTTTTTCTATTGTATTATTTTCCATATGAACAACTGTACACCTGCTTTTGCCCCACCCTGTATTAGCAGTTCCAGCAGCCCCTTCTTTGGGAATGACAGAAATCACACATTTCTGCTACTTTATATACTAGGAAGCTGAGAATGGCTTACAGTTTTTACACCCTTAGTCCATGAGGGACATGGACATGTTGGGTGTGTTTGTGAGTCCAGAGCATAGTAGTCTGTCATGATGCTAACAGTCATTAGAAATAATTAGCTTGTCATCTGAGCTGAAGACGAGGAATCTGGTGCCCGTCCCTACCCCACATCAGGCTGAAAAATTGTTTTTCTGGTCCCACCAGGTAGGAACCTGTGACCTGTGTGTAGTGTGGAAACAGGTTTGGGTAAAACCCGTAATGCTGAAGTGGCTTGGGAAGAGTCAAGCCAGCATCATCAGCACCTACCTCAGCAGCTGGAAGGTGGTGGTCTTCACATGTCAACAACAGAAAATGGACATGCAAGACTTCAGCAGACCAGCTGCAGGGCCTTTGTGAAAACGGCCACATCCCCCAATCCCAGTCTCCTGCCTGACCAACAGATACTGATATGTGGTCTGTATAGTCTTCGAGGGTAGAAACCACAGCAGATACTATCTTCTGGTTCCCGGTGTGGCCCTAGCATAAAGGTTCTCGATACATGGCGGCATGACTCATAGCTTGGCATTCTGGAAGTCCTTATGAAATGATACTAAAAGAACCAAAAGCTCGTTACAGCCATTCAGCCCACAGACCTCCACCAGCATGAGGAACAGGTAGACTTCATCTATCCCAAAACCCACATATGCGTGAACTGCGGGTGGCATATTTATTAGTTGTCTTCCCCTTTAGTATCTACACTTGGGTTCATTTTGGTTTGATTTCACCAGCATAAAAATATTGGAGGAAAGTGAGATAAAAACAGCAAGACCTTCTGAATCAGAAAACTGTTAAAAGTTGGTTCTTTGTAGGGGAAAGCATTGAAATAGATAAATCATTAGCTACATAATCTCTCCTCTCCCCGCTCTGCCCCCCCACCCCCGCCTTCAGCAAAAAAAATAATAATAAGCACTGTTCCAGTTATCTCTTGCTGTTTAACAAACCACCCAAATTTAGTGGTTTAAAACAATACTGAGGGTCAGGAGTTCGTGTGGGTCTCAAAGAGGATGTCTTGGCTCTTCAGCTGGTATCGCCTGCCCTCGGCTAGAGCTAAGCTGGGCTGGAATTTCCAGAATGACCTCACACGTTTGGGATCTCCAGTGTCTAGGGTCCAGGGGCTGATTCTCAGCTATGATGCCTCAGTTCTCTATGTGGACATGGACACACTCTCTTAAGGTATCTCGTCCTCCAAGGCAGCTCTGTCTGATACAGTGGGCAGTCAGAGGGACAGGAGCAGAGCAGGAACAAAAAGCCAGGTAGAAAGATCTCCAGGGTGATATTTCCTGCCCTAGCACGTTACTGGTCATGTGATGTAGTCCCCCTTGAGCATTCGTGTTATTGGTCATGTGATGTGGACCCTCCCCTAATCTTTCCTCCCTGGCATGTCTTCGGTCCTGCAGTAGACCCCCTCAGGAGGAACAAGGAGGCCAGAGAGTAGCTTCATATGATTCCCCTGAACAACAGCTCCCTTAAGCATGAAGCCCTCAGGACAGTGAGGTTCTGATCCACATCAAATAATCTCAGGAACAAAGCCTCGGGTCCAATAACCACAGAGAGAGTTTTGGTCACACTAGACCCCAGTTGCGTTTTAGGGCCAAGCCCAGCAAAATGGCAAAACCAGGCAAAATGATGCCATGGCATCCTGACCAGATGCAGTGACTAATGACCCTACCCTAGTGTCAACCAATCAGTAGAGACCATGACCCTGAAAGGACACAGCTGAGAAGATACTGAATATTCCATTGAGATCCTCCCCTGGGACCTCTAAGATCTCTACCATTAAGAGAGCAGATAAAAACCCTCAGTGAAACTGAAAAGATGTCATTCATGCTGCCTGTCACTACCAGACCCAATAAGCAGAGACAGAGATTGAATCTTCGTGGGCGCTTTATTCAAATGGTCAGCAATCTGAAAAGATGGCAGGTTTGTACCCTAACATGTCTTAAATTCCATTTTCAACCAATTCTTTTTATAAGAAGAAAAGTATAAGTAATGGGTTTGTAATTCAGGGGGAAAGTTAAACATAAAAATTTCAGCATTCTGCCCTGGCTGGTGTGGCTCAGTGGATTGAGCACCTGCCTGTGAACTAAGGGGTTGCTAGTTCTATTCCCAACCAAGGCACATGGGTCCCCCAAGGGGTGGGGAGGGTGGGTGTGAGAGGCAACCACACATTGATGTTTCTCTTCCATCCTTCCCCTCTGTCTAAAAATAAAATCTTTTCTTTAAAAATAAAAATTTTTGAAAAAAAGCAGCAGCATTCTTTTATCTGTGTCCTGAGGAGTGGGCATCTCACCCTAGAGTACCATGGCTCAGGTACATCTTGATTGCTTGCAGTCCTGAGCACAAAGGTGGAACTGCTTATGGTCTCCTGGAGTCATACCTGCAGGTCCTGAAATGAGCTGTTTACATACATTGATTACTAAGCTTATTATTATCTGAAGCTAAATTTTTTCCAACATTTGAGTCCCCCATCATCAGGATGGAGGGCCCAGCTCCACTCTGTGGAGCAGGCCCTGCACCTTTCCTCCTCCACCGCCTCCTCCTCCCAGGTGCATTTTCTTTGCTTCTCTTTCTCCTGATCACAAGGGCCCTTCTTTTGCCTCTACCTTCTTTCCTGAGTCCATGCAGCCCAGCCCTCTCACTTCTTATATACCTCTGTGACTTTCTAAATAATATTTGAGTTCCTTGGCTCTGAACTTTTTTCTTAGCCAAACTCAAGGGCCAAGGTCTAACATCTGGTATCATTCACCAGTAACATGTCCATGTGACATCTCTCTCTAACGTCATAGCCTGGGCTTTATTTATAGCTGCCATGCTGGACACTAATCCCCAGAAATTACTCATCTTGTAGCTGAAGTGTGTACTCAGACCACCTTCATTACCCCCCACTGCACTGGCCCTGACAACCACCAGTCTACCCCATTTCTAAAAGTTTGTTTTTATTTTTAAGAGTCTACACGTGTGAGATCATACTGTATCTGTCTTTGTTTGACTTACTTTACATAGCATAATGCCCTCAAGTTTCAGCCATGTTGTCACTAATGGCAGCACTTTTGCATTTGTTTGTTTTTATGGCTGAGTAAGAAAAGTCCTCTTAAAACCTGG